GTTCGAACTGCCGGCATTTAAAAATGGCGCCGGACGGCTTTATGCAAATGAAGCCTGGGAAATTCAAATCCCGGGCTTCATTTGCAAGTGCGGTATGCCTACATTACCCTCCTATTCGAATTAGGAGGGTAGTGTAGACATACCCTTAGTGATTTCAGCTCTTGGCTCAAAGCACAGTCCAGCCACAAGAGATTCCAGCAGCCACTGGAGTAAATCTACATACAAAAGAGACTCCTTGTGGAGCCTTTCTTTAACTCTCTCATTGAAACAGTGGGGAAAAACAGGTAGAACCAGTCTTACAGCTTACTCTGGGAGGGCATGCAGCCTGCTGACTCACCTCCCTCCCCAGCTCAATCTATAGGACTCTGGAAGTTGAGCCTCTGTCTATCCTAGATTCTTTACACCAACAGTTTCTCTCCTTTGAACTGAGTTAAACACGGTCTGACTTTTCTGCATTCCCAGTAACTGCAAGCATTGGTGATCGTATCTTACAATTCCTGCATTTAGAGTTAACATAGTCTGGGTGTGGCTATACTGCACCCTTTGCTCGAAATAAGCTACAGAATTTGAACTACGCAAATTGTATAGCTGATTTCAAGTCCATTTTGAAATAGCTTATTTCAAAATTTGGCACTGTCTACAGAGCACTTATTTTGAAATAAATCACTATTCTGAAATGTCCCTTACTCCTTGTGGAATGAGGTTTACAGGGACGTCGGGATAGTAAGCCCATTATATTTCGAAATAACGGGTGCACTCAAAAGACATGGAATAGTTATTTTGGGATACCTCGGGTTGCAGTATAGACGTAGCCTTTGTGACCTCACAAAAGCCAAATTGGTTACAATGAGCAAAACACTATTCTAACAGTTGAATATCTAGCAGGCCTAAGCAAACTGAGTGAACTGTATTTACATAACCACATGCAGAATTTATTTCCCATTGCAGCTGGCTGTAATGGAAGCATTGATTCAGACCCTGCTTACACATGCATCTGTCTTCATATATGTAGGTTGGTTGGGGGTCATTGTATGACTTGGGATGCTTATAGGCTATACTTGGAGTCAGCAATGGGCAATCTAGGCTAGTGAGTGGGCCACATGAGTGGCCTTTCATCATCTCAATGGACCACAAGACTGTCACAACCAAGACAGTCTCCTGGGATAGATTAGTTTTGCTAACTGCACTTGCATTCCTAAAATTTTGGGGGCATGCTGCTTGAACTGTAGCAATGGTTTGATTGGATTTAGAGGGAGCATGCAGCTTGTACAGTCAATGTTGTGTGCAATCAGCATGCACCTGACTTCCTGTGCCCTTGCTTTATGTGAGTGTCATATTAGTAATACCAGTATCAAAAAATAGCACGGACACAAACCAGTGGAATCTGACAATACTGCATGAGCAATGGTAAACAGTGTCTTTCAGGTTGCATATAGAACCCTGATGGGCTGATTGTGCTTTAAGTGATTGTGTGTGTGTGTGTGTGTGTGTGTGTGTGTGTGTGTGTTTTGCAGATCACAGTGTGATCCTTATTCAAGAGGCTTCTGGAGAGACGGTTTTTGGTGTTTGTCTTTTTTCAGTTGTGTCTCAGGAAAGAAGCTTTGTAGAGAACTGGTTTTGTTATATCCTCTGCATTCTGTGAATTTGATGGGAATTTCATTTCTCCAATGAGAACAGAAAATACCAGAAGCTCAGCCTGGAACTTTCTATCCTATTGAAAAGGGAAATTTTTAAGGCAGAACAAAACATTGAATCGTGGTATCCAGCCAAATGATAATAAGCAGGGCTGACCTTTCAATAGAAAGCATTCTGGTTCTGAGGAGGACCATGTTACATCTGAGTTACGACTGATTGTCTCCAGTGCTTCTGAAATATGAAATCTGTGGTATTATCTAAGGCCGGCTGGAGGCATTTTTCTCCTCTCTGTCTGCCTTATGGAAACTTTATTTCAATCTACTTAGTGATTGTTGGGTAAAATATAATAAATTAAAGTATTTTGCAGGGCAAATTCCTATCGTAGCCTAGTGGAGTTGGCCCCAGTTACCTCTTTACAAGTGCTTATTCCTGATCTTGAAAGCTAATCTCCTAAATACCATGATATTGGTAAATGCAGCTGGAAACCAGGTGTGTTACAACAGAGCCCCTCTGAATACTTTTCTTTCCTCTGGCTTTCAGCTTAGAACTGTTGCTGTTGTTTATATTCCCAACTATCCCCCTTTGCTTCTGTATGCCATGACCTTGTTAGAAACTGACTAGACTTCCTGGAAGATCACCCAGAATTGTGTAAAATGCCTGTTGTTAAAATGGACTCTTCATAGCACTGAGGGACAGTTCTTCCCTTTAGATTAAAATATAGCAAAGTACATCAGAAATGATGACGTGTATAGGGAGTTGATAGCAGTTTTAATTCTAAATTACTGCTCCTTCCATCATTATTTTTTATGAAGATTTATCTAGACATGATCCTCCACATAGGGGATGCCCACAATAAAATAGGAGTGCAGCGTACTTGGTAAATTCCACGTGGCATTTGGCACTTCATAGGATTGGTCTCTAGACTTCTAAATTCTTACACACATTCTGCTTTTTACCTGCTGCTGACTTCCTGCTCTGTTTCCTTTCTTCTTGTCTCTCAGTTTGGGTAGCTCCTCCGCTAGAGATTGCAACATTCCTGTTTGCTAACGGCTAACATTGTGCATCATTGTTTTCACTGTGTACCATGAGGATCTGTAATATATGCTCTCATTTCACAAGGGATACACCCTCCATACCCTGTTCTCTCCCACATTTGTCTTCTCTATCCTGTTTCTGGGAAGTGCAACATACATCAAACACCACTTATAGCCTCACAATCTTGCCCTCTTTTTGTTTTATGGATGTTTGAATCCCTCAAAGTGGGTGGCATTTCCAGAGAGACAACATGTTACCAGCAAAACTGCTGGATCTTAAATAGAACTGAGGTCCGAGGCTTGCTACATTTTGTGAACATGGAAAAAGTGGGTTGGCCTGATGAAGAAAACCCATCAACTTCTTCCCTTGAGTTCCCAAAGCCAGGTTGCCCTTCCTTCAATCTACAGAGTCACTCTTGACCTTCTGTTGCACCCAGTACCTTCCTTAGGGGATGTATAGTCTCCTTCCCTTCTGGCTGTCTTTTGGCTGGCTGCTTCTATGGAATCTTTGAGATACCAGCACATCATGCATTTGGAAGAAGGTCCCTAGGTAGCACCAAATCCCAAGAGTTTGCTAGATGGACTTGGGAAGTGGCTTGAACCCTCTCTACCATGGTAAGAGAAATAATGATCTCAAATATAGATACCTTTAAATAATATTAACTCCTTTTTAAGCTGCAACTGCCACAAGAGCAGCTAATAATCTCTTTGAACTGGTCTGTGAAGTCTGTGTCAGAAGCCAGTGAGTCATAGCTTCTGCCAGATGATTGCAAATGAGTGTGTAGGAGGGGCCCAGTCCTTGCACTTTGTATTGGGAAGGGATGAATACAGAGCTAGCAGCAGGCACTCGCAGCGAACACAGGTAAGTCTGAATTTAGAGCTCAGCTGTAATGAGAAGCAGGCAGCTTTGGGGGTTATAAGTATAGTTTTTTATTGCACTTAAGTCTCTTTTAAAAAACAAACAAACAATTTAACGATGAAGTGAGGCAATCGGCAGTGGATGAACGAGGTTGCTGAGCGACCCACTTTACTGCACAGCGAATAGGGATGAGTGACTACTAGCTTTGTGGTTCTGCTGCTGGAACCACAAAGCAAGTCCCCGTTTTTCAAGTGGAACTGCGCAACGTTTTGTGCAAATCCAGAAATGGATTCCAGTTGCAGAGTTTGCAAGTAGTTTGGGATAATTCTGATTCGATGAGCCTGTGGATTCATTCTCCATGTTGGCCCCTTATAAACTGAGACCCAAGATGTGAAATTCAAATCTGAACATAGATCTGGGTCTATTGTGTGCTGGGGTTTGATCCAGCGTCCCAGGTTGGACCCATCTTTACCCAAGATCATGAAGAATTCGTTGTTTTTGTATGAATTCATTGGGTTTGCACTGAAACTCTGCAGTTGTGACTCTTTTCCCTTTGGATTTTGAGTTTGATTTGAACACAAGGATCCAAGTGAATCTGATATTGTTACATGGGGTGAGTCCAGTGATTAAAACAAAGAAAATGAGTTTACATACCCCAGAAAAGCAAAACCATTGTTTCCATTGTCGCTGTATCTCTGGCCTGAATGGGGGCTGTAAGCCATGAAACTAGAGTTGTCAGTGGGGGTGAAGTTGGGATGTACACACCGTTGTACACACCAACTGCTTGGCTGGCACAGCTTGCAAGGGTTTTAATGGGTGAAGATGCTGATCAATATTCAACAGGTTGCTTGAAATATTCCTGCCTCTCTGATTCCTGTTTTTGAAAGATTTAGGAATCTCCAAACAGATGTAGCCAAAAGGATGCACAGAAGTAATGTTTCTGGGCACTAATATTAGGCAAGAGAGCATGGCCTGGAAGTGGTAAACTGAGTCTCATATCACATGCGGTGAGTCTCAGATCCCTGGAGTCAGATCACATGCAGTGACTTGGTACACCAGATCAAGATCTTCTGAGCCCCATGCTCACACTTCCAGGCCATGCTCTCTCAGAATGCGTCACAAAAAATTAAGGAAGTCTCTCAATCTCCCTGTGAAGTAAATAAATACCGGTGGGATTGAGAGACATTCTTAATTTTTTGTGATGCATTCTGAGATGCCCCGAGGGCAGGCACTACAGAGCAGCAATTGAATATCAACAGCATGTTCTGTGCTTTATGGGGTGAGCTCTGTATGCCCGCACCTTGTCCTTCAGGCTCATATGTCAATGGCTAAGCACCAAGTCCTGTTTCTCCAGCTTCCCCTACCTATTAGAGGGACTGATGCTTAGGGCCACAGCTTACTTTGTTACATGTTTGATGTTAACATCCCGTGTCACTGTGTGAGATGTAAAGTATCTTTTCCTGTCCCCCCAGGGACTCATTCTTCACAACGCATGCTTACACCTTTCCCTCCTCTGGCACATGTCATGGACAGTATATAGAAGATCCTATGTGGATGAGATTATAACTAGCCCAGAGCAGGTGCACAAAGAGGTCAGAGGACCTCTGTCTGTACAAGGCTACAGTGGCAGCACGCAGTGACCGCTTCCTCCAAGGAATGCAAGGACAGAGAGAGACACACAAATAGGTATTATCTTCCCCCTCCCCACCCACTCACCCATGCTTTTTGAGGTAAGTAGGACTTGAGCACTCAGTTACTCTTTGTGTCCTTGAAATTCTCTCTCTGGAGTGCACAGGTTGTACTTGTCTCTCAAGAGTCCTATTGAGAACTCTTTCAGTACAGATCAGGTGCAGCACCTCCCAATGATCTCCCCTGCCCTCCCTGCCCATGAGGAGTGGGCATTGGAGACACCCCTTACCTCTAGGTGTGTAGGGTCCGCTTTGTCTTGCTGTGACATTGTTACAGTATGTATACTTGCCGTGACCATTTTCTGGCAATGTGAGGAGTGACAGTAGGGCGCGGAGGCACAGGGGAGATGCCAGGGGACGGTGGGTCAGAGATGATTTAACTTTATTGCAGAAAAACCTTGGCAAACACACTTGGAGACTGAATGAGAATCCTGGGCCAAATCACTTGTGTGTCATGTGCTGTTCTCGCCCCAGGGGAATCCAGCCCATTCTGCGAGGCTGGCATGTGATCATCCACGCAGTTTAAACGCTGTGTAAGGCCTCTGTGCTGCCGACTGAGTCTGAAAACTTGCATGCAGAGCCCAGGATTAATTTTGTAGATTGAGCGGTGGTTATTCAACTGCATCATCAGGGCTCCAAATTAACCCTTCTATTGCCAAAACTCAAAGGACAGCCAAAAGGCCAGCTTCTGCGCCGACAGCTCAGTTTAAAAGGTTGTATTTCTTTTTAAAACCGCTATTGCCTTATGACTGGTATGATTTTTTATATTGGTTGTGAGTATGGTCTGTGTCTTTTGGTTAGCATTAGGGTTGTAGCATGCCTCAAAATGTTCTTCTGAGCTGATCTTAAGTGGGAGACGGAATGCTAGTAGTAATGTCTACAAAGGGATAAATACAGTGTGGTTGTTCTTTGTGATGCCATTAGTGAAAGTCATTTTCAGAACAGAGAGCTGTGCATTCAGTGACAGTTCTTGTAATAATAATTTGCTCTTGAAACTATATAAAAAAAAGGAAACAAACATTTTAAGTAGAAACAAAATTCCTGCTTTTGTTTTGGAATGGCCTGTGAGGAAACATAATTCTTCAACCAAACATTTCTGAACAAAGATATTGTGTTTACAATAGTAAAGAATAAAATTGTGAAGCATGTAGAAGAACATAATTTGTAGGACAAAAGTCAACATGGTTTCTGTAAAGGGAAATCCTGTCTTACTAATCTATTAGGGTATGTCTACAGTACCCTCCTATTTCGAAATAGGAGGGTACTGTAGACATACCCTAATAGATTAGTAAGACAGGATTTCCCTTTACAGAAACCATGTTGACTTTTGTCCTACAAATTATGTTCTTCTACATGCTTCACAATTTTATTCTTTACTATTGTAAACACAATATCTTTGTTCAGAAATGTTTGGTTGAAGAATTATGTTTCCTCACAGGCCATTCCAAAACAAAAGCAGGAATTTTGTTTCTACTTAAAATGTTTGTTTCCTTTTTTTTATATAGTTTCAAGAGCAAATTATTATTACAAGAACTGTCACTGAATGCACAGCTCTCTGTTCTGAAAATGACTTTCACTAATGGCATCACAAAGAACAACCACACTGTATTTATCCCTTTGTAGACATTACTACTAGCATTCCGTCTCCCACTTAAGATCAGCTCAGAAGAACATTTTGAGGCATGCTACAACCCTAATGCTAACCAAAAGACACAGACCATACTCACAACCAATATAAAAAATCATACCAGTCATAAGGCAATAGCGGTTTTAAAAAGAAATACAACCTTTTAAACTGAGCTGTCGGCGCAGAAGCTGGCCTTTTGGCTGTCCTTTGAGTTTTGGCAATAGAAGGGTTAATTTGGAGCCCTGATGATGCAGTTGAATAACCACCGCTCAATCTACAAAATTAATCCTGGGCTCTGCATGCAAGTTTTCAGACTCAGTCGGCAGCACAGAGGCCTTACACAGCGTTTAAACTGCGTGGATGATCACATGCCAGCCTCGCAGAATGGGCTGGATTCCCCTGGGGCGAGAACAGCACATGACACACAAGTGATTTGGCCCAGGATTCTCATTCAGTCTCCAAGTGTGTTTGCCAAGGTTTTTCTGCAATAAAGTTAAATCATCTCTGACCCACCGTCCCCTGGCATCTCCCCTGTGCCTCCGCGCCCTACTGTCACTCCTCACATTGCCAGAAAATGGTCACGGCAAGTATACATACTGTAACAATGTCACAGCAAGACAAAGCGGACCCTACACACCTAGAGGTAAGGGGTGTCTCCAATGCCCACTCCTCATGGGCAGGGAGGGCAGGGGAGATCATTGGGAGGTGCTGCACCTGATCTGTACTGAAAGAGTTCTCAATAGGACTCTTGAGAGACAAGTACAACCTGTGCACTCCAGAGAGAGAATTTCAAGGACACAAAGAGTAACTGAGTGCTCAAGAACGTCTCTCGTAAAAGGTATTGCTTTTGCAATCATGTCTGGTCTGAAATTCAATCCTTATATACAGCATGCTGTTAACCTCTGGTAGTTTGAAACTGAAATTTCATACAATGGTGTTTAAGTCGTCACAGGTCACCTCTGGTCTAGCATGCGACACAGGATGGGTGGGGGAACTTACGAGGGAAAGGCAAACTTACAGGCCTGTTTGGAGTATTGAAAACAGCAGGGAGGGCATTAAAACTTTAGCCATGCACACAGCCCATAACTGATTGTTTGAAGCCAAGATTAGACCTGGAATTAGTATTTTGTATCTTAATTAAAACAAAACGATCTTTATCGATAAGCCGGGGAAGCATGTGCCGATGTCTATGAGCAAATGTAATCCCTTGCGCCTTTTGATTAGTAAATGGGATTACATTAAAATCAATCCTTTTCCCAAGGTCCATTTGTGCTCGCACTCTCTATTGAATTACATAGCTGGTATGGTGCCAGGCACCGGTCCCCCATTGGGACAATGAAATTTTATCCACAGTGATGCTCATTTATGTCTTATGGTATGTTGCCCATTTATTACAATGGTCTTGGGAGACTTTATGCCTTGGTGAGAAATTAATTTAGGACTCGGCGCTCTGTCAAATTCTCCTCAATCTGCTTCTCACATGAGTGACTGTAGAAGAAGGGAGTGGGCAGGCGGAGAGAGGGGGACCAATCTGATTGGCAGGGGCCTGATGCCGGAGGGAGAATTAATTTGAGAACTGCAAGTCTGATCCGGTAATAGAACTTTGGTGAGAAAGTTCGGAGCAATTGGAGGGGCTCAGCATCTCCCGGGGTTTGGTCTCCTTTGCTTATCATTTGGGCTTTGGAGATTTTACTCCTGAATAAGAAGGGTGTGCTTCTAATCCCGTGGATTTTCCCTGCATTACTCACAGAGGGCTCTGTCCGAAGCCCATGGCAGTCAGTGAGGATAGATGTAAAAACTTGAATTGGATCCTAATTGAGCTAGAAATGAGAGTGGAGAAGAATGATGGACCTCTTTCTTTGGTTTTTGCATTGTGATTTGCAAGGTGCAGCTTAGTACAACCATGAATGATCATTTTTATGGAAAGTGAAAGGGCTTCATAAAAACCACGAGGGAAGTGCCGCTGAGGATCTAGGAAGTCGATGAGCTGGATTGCTCTGTTTAATTTCCTCCCACCTTCTCCATCTGTGGATCTTGCCTTTCTGTCAGCAAGCCAGCCAGCAGTACGGGAGAGAAAAGTGATGTGCAGTCCCTTAAGGTTTAAGACTACATTTTTTTCTTCCTTTTGGTGTCCTTTCTTAATGCACGGCTTTATGCAATACCCCTTTTTCCTTGACCTGTTGTGGTTGTTGCTGTGACTAAGAAGCTGTCATTTAACATACGGCCTGTTTGGTGGCTTTTGCTGTAATGTAGAGATCTGGTGAGAGCGTAATCGGATCCGTTAATCTGCCTCTGTGTCTGCCAAGGCCCAAATGTAGGATGCGCAAATACAAGTCAGGCAGGAAATATGAAACACTGTGGAATCCTTTCCTTTCGCACAGAGAACATTCTGTATTGCAGGGGTGGGGAGCCTAAGACCCAGGGGCCAGATGTGGCCCCTGGCTTGTCTGGATCCAGCCCCCGAGGCTCATTGGGGAGCCCAAGCTAGCATTCCAGCCCCCCGCCAACCCCCACAGAGCTGGAGCACACAAAATATACTAGTCTGGGCCCTCCTAGGCTCTGGGGGGCAAGGGGAATGTGGGAGTGTTTTTCTCCTTCTCCATTAGGAGCCACATTAATGAGGATTTTTTGTTTTTGTTTTTTTTTGCTTTTGCTTCTCACTTGTGTGTGTAGCCCTCGACTGACTTTTCTGTGGGTCAGGGTCTCAGACCCTAAAAAGGTCCCTCCTCTCCCCCCTTCCCCCCCACCGCTGTATTGCCTCGGTTCCCAGACTCTGCATTTCTTGTCTAAATGATGTCCCACCGGATAAGTGAGAGTGGCAAGTTTTTGTGGAATGGAGGTAAAGTTGGGATGATAATGAGAGGCATCCCTTGACATCAGAGAAGTGTGACTGGCACAGTAAGTGTGTTCACCTGATGCTGTTCTGAGAGCGGAAACAGAGCCACTGCAGGTGTTGAAGGGAAGGCAAGAATCTTGCTGCAGCTGTTGTCCAGTGCTATGGTTTGAACACACACTGTTAGTTTTCAGAAGTAGAAGATGGATCACTGTGTTTGGTGTCTTGTATTCTCTGAACAACTCTGGGCCACAGCTCTAAAGAAAGAGCCAGTTGTCATCTTAATACTTCCTACCACATTAAACTATAGTTCCTAAATGGCCCCTTGAGGGGACAAACAAAAGTACCTAGTGCTAGCAATAGCCAGTGTCCGAGGCAGCTTATTCATCAATCTCCCTACTTGGTTAACTAGTTGTGGCTTCACATTTGATTTAATTGGAGATGCAAAGCCTGATACATCTTACACTTATGATATTACATTGACTTCACTGGGGTTACTCCTGATTTATGCTACTACTAGCAGATTTAAGACTTTGGG